TCTACCAAAGCATTGAGTGAGATACCACGCATCCTTCTGGAGTCGCGCTGCTAGTATACTATTCCTACTTTATTCAGTAAAATCAAGTATAAGCGTGAAAGATTTCAAGTGTGGGCTGTGAATAGCTGGAGCGCTCAGTTGGAAGAGTATTCGCCCGGCGGAAAGTTCCAGTTTCGAATCCTAGTCTAGTCCCAGGCCGTGATTTTTCTCGCCGAAAATTAAGACGTGCCCCTACCTTCCTGAAGATACACCCCTATTTATTACTATGATAAACGCTGTATACCTCTATCTCTATGTCTAAGCTATAAAGTCTACAATGTGCTCTTTGCGACTAGAAACATTCTATTTTATAGTCAATAAATACGTTCAAACAATGTGCAAATTGATAAATTGTACATTATATATTGTATTATACAATCGTATATTGTCGATAGACTTTTTTAAGCGTTTTGATTCACTGATATAAAATAGAATGTTTCTAGACGCCAAGAGCACATCGTAGATCAGGTTTAAGTGTAAAGTAAGAGAGAAAGAGTGATGAGCGAAAAGAAGAAACAGCTAAAGAGCTTAGAGAGTTACAGAGCTTATAGAGTGAAAATCTTACAGAATACAGAGTTTAGCTTTCTTCAATGGATAAAAGTGATGTAATAAAAATTCAAAAGACGCTAAATAGAAATTTGCCTTTAGCTGAGATCGTCAATTTCGAGATGGTATTGACTTGCGGATTACAGACTCGATGCTTTTATACGAACAATTAAATTTGTAATATCAAAATTATGAAATCTTGACGTGCTATAAAACTCCAGGATTTAATTCACTGAAATATCTCGAAATAAATTTTACTTCTTTCCTTATTTTAACGTAATTTGAAAAATGTTCTCGTTTGAACATGCTAAGCACTGAAAGTATCAAATTAATTCTGAAAAGGAAAATTATATAAAAGTTCTCTCTCCTCCCCCCTCTCTCCTCGATTTAATCGTTTGCACACACACATACACGCGCGCGGCGTAAAGGATTTTAATTCATAGTAATTAAATGTTAATTCGTTGCAAATTCAATTCACGGACGTGGCTGCCAAGTGGTTGAATATACCGCGATCAGCCCGGTGTCGGCGTCGGCGTCGGTATTGGATTAGCGCGTGTGCAATTATCGGTGGGAAATCGTACGTCAAGGGAGGGAGGGGGGAGCTTTTAATCCGGTTTCACCGGGGACAATAGATTCGTCCGAAAAGTTACTTGGATTCAAACGGCACCGCCATGTGCCACCTTTTTTCGCACGCCCTCCCCACGCGGATCCACCCTGCTTCGTTCTTTTTTTTTAACATTCGTTTCTGACACACCTATATATCAAACAATGCTACCCGAAGTTCGTCACGCTTTCTCCCCTTCGCAATGGCCTCTCTTTTTATTCCACGTGCATGACACGTGTGCCATCCATGTCGAGGCAAGCGGCCAACGATGCGGCGCGAACCGGTGGCTGCGAGCGGCGAGTAGCGAGAATATTCATTTCTGCATGCGGTTACGAAAATTCAATCTTCCTATTTACGCTTCATCAACGCGCACGGGCTTTAATGATCGGCTAATCGCACTTATCGAGCTCGAAAACGTAAGAGAATTGTAGCCGAGGCTACAATTTCAGTGGCTACAGATGCGAAAGGTCCTCAAGAGCATTGTCAAAAGATATGCCAGCATATGTTTTTTCCTTTTTGTTTTTTCCTACCTGAGCAAAAATTTCTTCGTGTCGTGCAGTCGCATCAGCGTCAATGTACTGTGAGCAGTGTTCAGTTTTTGTGGAATTCAATGTTCTTTCGTGTATTTGGTAATTTAAAAAAATCTACAAAATGTACGATATTAACGCTCTACTAATCTTCATTTTTAAAAACATCCTACGAATCAAACATTAAATATACTCTCTAAAAGTCAATCAGTGGATTATCACTGAAAACAGTGAATAGTCACTGACTTGCAGTTCTAAGTATACCACTGAAAATCGCAGTTGTTTACTTACAACTGTAATTCAGTGACCATTCTCTGCTTTCAGTGATAATCCACTAATTGACTTTTAGAGAGTAGATATGTACACGGAGAAAATTTTCTATTGAAATTTACCCTGAAAATCATGTAATCGTGGGACAACATGGCATTTTGAACAACTTTATGAGAGTTTTTTTAAATTTACCATACATTTTACTAGTAAGTAATTATACGTATCGTTAGCATACATTTTACTAGTAAAATGTATAGTAAAATTTCAAAAACTCATAAAATTCTTCAAAATGCCACGTTGTCCCACGATCACACGATTTTCAGGATGAATTTTAAGAGAAAATTCTCCCCGCGTCTTTATATTATAAAGCATTCTTTTTCTATAAAATTTCTCGTTACAAATTATGGAATGATAATATACGCTGCTCTCAGCGATGTCGAAAATATGGCAATGAGAGGATCAATTTCTCAAATCGTTCCAATCGAGATACCCGTCACCGCGTCGAAAGATCTCTCTCTCTCTCTATTTAATCGGCATTTATTCCTTTTCTCTCCTCGCCGAAACCGACCGCGTCATCGTCGTTCGATGAAACGCGGGTTGGGCGTCGGTGGATACGCGAATGGACGACGCGTTGAGACGCATTTTCTCGTATATATCTAATAGCGCGGCGCCGCGAGACATTTGGCAGTGCCCGTCGCGGTATTTCTTTCTCTCGCGTTTTGGCGTTACGCCCTATCTACGCGGGTTCGATTGTGCCCGCCGCGCACGCGTGCGTCTTTTTCCAGCGGACATAACACGCGGCATTCCGCACATGCGTGTGCACACCGACGCACGTGCGTCACGCCGGGGATTATGCGACTGACGCGGTGACCCGGGCCCATTGCGTATTGGCAATTGGCGAAGATAGTCACGATTAACTCCGCGCGTCGCACGTGTAAACCGATACCCGGCCGCCAGATACGCGTAGCTGATTGATCGCCGCCAATCTTGCACGTGCGTCGCTCCGACTCGGAATCCCGAACAGCCCCGGCCGCGTTGTCCCGCCTCGAGCCCCGCGGCTTCCCGCCATGGCTAAGGACATTAATATCTCGGTGACAAAGAAACACACGATCCAAATGTGATCTGTAATTTTACGGATGCCTGTACTCGGCTAGAGAATTCGTTGTAATACGTATGTACTTTTTAATATTAAATTAATTGTTAAACGGTTTATAAAGTCAGTTTTGAAGACGAGACCTTTCGACTGTACGGAAGACATTTATTTTTACATTGATGATGAATTAATTTCTCGCTAGACACGGAATTGATTAGGAATGTGAACTTGTATACGACTGAGAAACCTGAAATCATGATCGGGATCTTCTCGAGTGTTATCGAGACATTTCGGAGGATGAGAGAACCACAGACTTCTATACGGGAGGGAGAGAATTTTCTCTTAAAATTTACCCTGAAAATCGTGGGACAACGTGGTATTTTGAAGAACTTTATAAGAGTTTTTAAGTTTACCATACATTCTACTCTAGTAAAATAATACAACAATATCAGTGTAATTTAAATAAAATGGTTGAAACAACATCAGTATTAATGAATGAAAACATTAAACAGTTGTCTTAATAATCTGGATATTTGGTTCAGTGCTTAAAATCAATGGCAAATACAATTAAGTGAATTATTTATTAATAAGAATTCTTCAATGTCGCCAGCGATAATTATTTATGTTTGGCAGCCTGTGACATCAGCGTTTAATTCGAGCAACTTAATGTGTTTTAAATTTAATAGCATTTTTTCCCGTGCATACACACATCGTTTCGTATCTTTTCGAAAAATGACGATTCCCTTTACCCTGCGTTCAACAATGCTCGATAAATAGTGCCAAAGTGCTGCGGTCCAAGGTATTTCACCAGGAGTGATCGAACTCGCGCATCGTGCAATTGGGATATGTAATGAGATATAGATGTGACTGGATTCTTAGGCACGGTGTCTTCAACGTAACTCAATTTTAACTTAACTCATCCTTTGTCTCTTTCTAAAGCCAACGGCACACGATACTATTTTTCCCCCTAGCGTCGTGTGCGGTTGGCTTAACTGTCCTCTTAGAAAGTGACAAAGAATTAATTAAATTAAGAGGATTCCTCAACATCTTTTTTACCGACTTACAATTAGTCAAATGTAGTTTTTGCGCTTGCAATTCCTTTTATTGGCTTTTATGCAGAAAATAATACCAGGATATTTCAAGTTAATTTTCGTAGTTATTTATAGAAATTTTTTTCTGCTAGGCGGACAGTTAACTTTACATAAAAAAGAAACGAAGAGAAATTAAAAATATCACTTTATAAGTGATTGAGATAAGCTAACCGGAAACCTTAGACCTTCTCGAGTCGATTGGATTTCATTACGAATAGAGGGTATCTTTGTTTCTCTGCAGCATCAAAAGCTGAACTTGGCATATAATTTCAATTCCTGATTCAGTCCCTGAACGGAACGTGCCAGATTTCTCGCGAGGTGCACTCAGCGTCGCGAAATGCAAGCTGAATAAGTCGAATTTTGTCCGGTAATTAAGACTGGATAAAGTAGAAATGAGCTCCATTTCTAATTTTCGAAGATAACGCAAAAATGCACCACTTTGCTCCACCTGCTTCCGTTGTACGAGTAAACACGGAGCTCGCTCTATGTTTGCTCCTGCAACATCCTGTGCTTATCGATCGATAACTGGACTCGCCGAAATTATGCTCGTTTTTTGTTATCTGTATTGTCATTACGAAATCCCCGCTTATCGAACGCGCTTCCTTTCGCGCGCGTCGGAACGGCATCGACGATTAAAGGATTCACCCGCACGACGGCTCTTCTCGCGCGCGAAAGTATCGGGCGTAAACACGAAGGAGGAAATCAAGCTAGGTTTAATCTCGCCGAACTCCCCGAGACGGGGAACGGGGGCAAATTTTCGGAAACGGAGAAACCGAAACGGAACAACAATTTATAAGCGAAGCTCCTACATATGTCGTGCACGTTGCGGGATGGTGCCGGGGGGCCCCACGCTTAAATGCGCGATTCGATCCGTGTGTTTGGCGCGATGGCGCGCTGCCGAGGCGAGTTATAAAAATCGTGCCACGTGTGCGCGTGTTACAGGCCGTAGCGAGGACGACGCAGGTATCGTGGATACGGAGGTGGGCGGAGGTTGCGCGGGTGGAGCGCCAACCGCAGGAGGTGGAAGTGTTGCCGGCGATGGAGGTGGCGGCGGCGGCAGCGGCGGGGCGCGCGGGGGGGTTGGTGGCGGCGGCGGCGGTGGTGGTGGTAGTGGCGGCGGCGACGGCGAGGGCGGATCATCCGCGAAGCAGCAGCAGCAGCAGGGTGGCGAAAGGTGCCCTCAGTGCGGCATCCCCTGTCGGGACGTCCGTGTCCTGCAGCTTCACCTCGAGGACACGCACAAAACGTCCTGTACCATCGACAAGCACGATCTCAACGCCCAGTTCTCCCAAGTGGTGAGTGATCGCCCGCGATGACCCGTCAAGGACACGCACTCTGCTCCCGCCTCCCCCCGCCCGGGAGGGGGTGGTGGAGGGCCTTCCTCGTTCGCCGCGTCCCGCGCGCGGACTTATCGATTATATCCCCGCAAAAGCGGCAGTCGGCTTTTCGTCCCCCCCCCCCCTCCCCCTGCTCCGAGAGGTACCCCGTTTTTCTCTGTCCCTCGTCGCACGCAATTTTCACGAGGGTGGAAGGGGGCACGCGAACGCGCCCGTAGGTAGCGGCGGGTCTCGTCGTGTCTTATTTTCTCAATGGTTTCTTTTAACAGGTGCGTCGGGGGTGTGTGTAGGCGTGTAAAACGAGCGACGCGTGAAGTTACGAGCGGCAGCGAGCGCGAAGTAGCATTCGGTTTGTAATTTATGAAGTAAATAAGTAGGTAAACGGATATAGATAACTTTACGTACGGCTCGTTGCGTAACTCGAGCGATGTAAACGCGATAGGACTCGTCATATGTTTTAATTTCGCGATATTTTTTTTTGAGCCAGTGATAAAGCGTCTTTTATATTTTCCCCTCCGTTTCTCATATTTCTCCCCTTTCTTCTAAGTTGATGTTTAATACACGGTTTTGCGCAGTGACGCGAATCTTCCGCGATTTTTTGCACGGCAAAATGTTATCTGTTAATAATCAAATTACCCGACTCGCACGAATTTCGAATATAGTTGCGCTCTAATCAACTCCTCTCATGCCGAGTTGCTTTAGGCATGAAATGTCGACAAATCGCGACTTGTAAAGAATAAATTACAAATCAAAAATGTGTAGAATAGGCGCAATTAAAGTAAATCAAATTAGCCGGTGAATTGAGAAAGAACGAGTGGAAAATTTCGATAATTGATTTTGTTATTGGTTGCATAGTTTTCGGAGAAAGAAAAATGTGAATTTGAATGTAGTGCGTGTCCCTGATATATTGACTAGACATTTACAATCGTACACAGCGACCTACGAAACTGATCAAATATACTATACAACAATTACCTAACTGATTCGAAGAAGACAGTCGACGAGAGCGACCTTTCAATATCAATACAACTTATAGACAAACGAGTAAATTATCTATGATGTTGCTGCAGAAATATAATATTTTCGTGGGTCGTTTGCAAATTAAAAAAAAAGAAGACAACAATGATAAGATTTGATCAGTTTTGCACGGTAGGTGATTGCGTCTCATTCGACTAATTTTGTCAATAATTTGGCAGTCCTGTAAGGTGTGTAGCAAGACCTTTGCCAACGTCTATCGATTGCAGAGGCACATGATTAGCCATGACGAAAGTGCCGTTCTACGAAAGTTTAAATGTCCTCATTGCGAGAAGGCCTTCAAGTTCAAGCATCACCTTAAGGTATTTCGCTATTATAAGTAGATGAATGGATACGTATTTTAGTACGTAACATTTTATCGTTTTTTTCCTATTTATATATACTTTGCTCCCTATATGTTACTCTTCCTTACATTGTCTCCCATTTATTGTTATCATCGATATAACGATCTTGATTTGGTTTTCATTTCTGTCTCACTTCGAATTTATCTCCTCTCCCCCGCGTGTTACATGAGCGATAGTAAGGTAGAAAGAAAAAATAGTTTAACTTAAACGAGATCTCCCTGTTTCTTGCAGGAACACCTGCGCATTCACAGCGGCGAGAAGCCATTCCAATGCAACAATTGCGGCAAGCGTTTCTCTCATTCTGGATCGTATTCGAGCCACATGACGGCGAAGAAGTGCTTGATAATGAATCTGAAAAAGTCGCGGCAGAACACCATAAGCAATGTCGATCGGGGACAGAAGAAGGCGCATCAGGCGTTATCGGGACGACGTGACGTCGATCTGTTGACGGCCAACAATAATACGTTTCTGCCGATTCTGCCCAAGTTATCGCCTTCGGAGTATCAGGAGATACAGAGGGAAGGAACAGGTAATTCCATTACATTTCCTCTTTTTTTCAAATATATATGTTCCGTTATATTTATGCATGTGTTGTGAATTTGATAAACGATTTCGGTTGGGGCTTCAATAAATTCGTCGAAAGAACAAAATGAATTCTTATACAGAAGACTCCTGAGATCATTTTGAAAATCTTAATTCCAAAATACCGAGGCTATAATAAATTCTTAAATGGGAAGTGTTTAAGCTAACGAAGTAAATCGATTGATCTTTTTCGCAAGGTCGCATCTCGATTTTTTCGCAATCTCCGGCTTTTCTACTTAAACATTCACTCTGGATCAGAATACGTGTTCAGCAGAAAAAACGGAAATTGCGAAAAAATCGAGATACGACCCTGCGAAAGAGATCAGTCGAAACAGTCCAATTTGTACGCTCATGCATAGCATGTGATAACGAAGATGTATATTATATTAATTTTAAGAATAGGATTTTGATGCATAAAAATACATATACTTCCACTACTCTACGATGCGTAATGTCTGAACGATTGAGTTTCGGGTTTGGTCGATTAATTTTAAAACACTATTAATATTTCATATTTTAATAAATCATGAAGAATTAAATATACTAATGAAATATTAACACACGAACAACCGTGTTGCACTGTCATGTCCGTATTATTTTTGTTTTTTGTATATCGAGGGTCTGCATTATTTTTTTATCTTCTCGAGTATTTTTTTTTACTTAAAAACTATTATAGCCTCAGCATTTTGGTATTAAAATGTTCGTCTCAAAATGATCCCAGGCGTCTGTCATTAATTATCACGATTCTTAAGCTTAAATTGTTTAACATTTAGGTATTTATGACATGCCAACTCTGCTGCCTCACATGGGATTCGGAAATTACTTCCTACAGTCTTCGATAGGCAAACTGCTGAATCAATTGCAATCTAAGCGTCCATACGACATTCCCGAGCAATTTGAGACGCATCGAGAAGTGATGAGTCCATCGACAGCGGACTCTGAGGGAACGGAGGGCACTGAGGGCAAGGAGTCTCCCGCGCCGGTAGATCCGTTGCAGGGACTCGATGCCGTTCGGCGAATATTAGAAACCGTAAACACCACAGTGACGAAGCAACTGCTTGAAGCGAACGTGCGGAAGCTATCTACGTCTCCGGCCACGATGAAACGGGAGTTCGAGGAGGATTATCAGGTAATGTAATGAGAGAGATTAAAATTGTTTGTACTTATAACTTAATTATTGTGGAAAAAGAAAGGTTTGCGATGAAGTAATTTGTTATTACTGAGTTAATAAAGAATAAGTATAATATATGACGTACACACTTATAAATTTTAGAAATTTAATAATTATATTGTATTCTTTAAATTATATTCTTTCAAGTTAGTTTATTTTTAATAGACATGTTATAATTCGCATTACAATGTGTTTATTAAACATTTAAGATGTCCCTAAATAAAATAATAAAACTATATCGATGTCCCAGATAGCCACTAGGCTCAAGCAATGTATGGAAATAAAATGCCAGCAACTGATGCTAGCGCTTCGCTAGGCGTATGAATTCACTGTTTGAGTGATTTAAGTACAGCTAGCATAACGTTAACATGTTGCCGTAGTTAAATGCACAGCTAAAGAGAGAACAACATCGAATGGGCATACTGTTAACAAAGAGTTAGCATACGTTGTTTTAAATTTTTTCACATATATAAATATGTTATATCTATTACATCTGATCAGGCACTTAATGCTAGCGTAATGTTTGGATCGTGCAAATGTTTCATTTCCGATGTTGAATGCTAGCAAACAACAGCACAATAGACGACATAGATGCATAGCAGGATGCTAACATTTTTGTTAGCAATATGAGAGCAACTTGTGCTCACACTGGCTATCTGGGGTGTGTACGTGTGTACGTGTGGGCAGGTAACTGAATTTTGTTACGTCACGTGAGATACTCATTTCTGTTTTTGAAATGTTTATAGGATCAAGATAGCGAAATGTCTAGTGAAATAACACACTATCCAGACTGGGGCGCAGCGGACCAATACGACTCACAAAGCGAAGGTTTAGCCGCGAAGCTTGAGAATGTCAATCAACCGACGTCGAGATCAGCCAAGAGAAAAGCGGAAGAGAGTTCTGAGGTGGATTCGGAAGATGAAGATGAGGGCAACCAGCCACATAGCGACAACGGGTCGAGAAGGGTCAGAGCTAGATCGCTCATAGACGACGAACAGCTTGCTGTTCTGAAAGGTTATTACGCCATCAATCCGCGACCTAAAAAGGAGGAAATCATCATGATCGCCAATTATATCAATTTTCCCACTCGTGTCGTACAGGTACGCAAAATAAAGACAGTTGAAATCGTTTGTCTACATTGAAAGAATTAAATTGAAGAGCATATCCGTGATATACTCTATTTCTTATAGATTATGACGGTTAATTACATTATATTATAATTTTGTAGGTTTGGTTTCAAAATTCTCGTGCCAGGGATCGAAGAGAATCGAAAATGCCACCAGCTCTGGTACCGTTAGCACCCCCGGAAAATCCGATTATTATCGAACAGCCCTTGGATTTGTCGAAGAAAGAAGCGCTTGTTATATCGGCAACCAAAGAAAGTGATACAGCGAGTAGAAATACTTCGTCTCCGTGTGAGCAGAAGAATGATATTGCAGCCCCAACTGCCGACAACGATGACCTCGAGGATTCGCCTTTGGTCATAGACGAAGAGACCGCTTCTGATCCCATTGAGACTAAACGTGCACCTTCCGGTGGAGAGGTAATCACAAAGGTAATAATGGAAAGCGAGATTAATCAAATATTTTGAACTTTTATAAACGGTTGTATAATTCGCGTATTATCGTTTAGAATCAAAATCAAGCGAACGCGAAGGGCGAGAGCGAAGCTGCACCACAATCAGAAATAATCCCTACAGCAACGGAGAACGAGCAAGGTCTATATTTCTGTGATCGGTGTGAGAAAACATTTTCCAAACACAGTTCCCTCACGAGACACAAGTATGAACATTCCGGTAAGCATATACTATTGTCTATTATAATAATATTATTGCACGAGCTTTTGTAATTTTATGCAAAAAGAGACATGATCCATGTCAGAGAAATCCAAGATAGAGTAATTAATAAAAAAAATTAAATTTGTTATTTGCAATGCGATATAAGAAAATTGATGGCCGATAATACGAGCAAAAGAAAACGTTGTAAAGATTTATAGTTTAATCTCCGATAATTAGGAAATTATGTAAACGCTTCAACTATACTAACAAAAGTCTTCTTAAATTCATATATTAATTATATAAAATAAGATTAAAGCAAAAAATAGTAATAACGCACAGTGAATAAGATGACAATTAAGTTAACATTACCACGGAACTGATATAATCTAAAATACAAATTTTTGTTTCAATTGTAATTTTAACCCCTTCTCTTAAATATATCATTACTGAAATTAATGATTTTTTAACAGCTTTTTTAGATTCAATTTAAATTGTGTCCATATAAAATACAATTGTATCTTGATTAAAATTCGCTAAAAACATACTTAAATTTGATTAAAGAAAATAAAGTTTTAACAATTATATATTATAATTAGCTTATAAATTAAAACTATCGATATTTCCACGTCTTTTTTCATCTAAATCTACTAGTTGAGAAATCTTGATCCAGCGTGAAACATTTCGCCTCGGACTATCGTGTTTTCTAAGAAAGGTTTATTATGAGCGAACACATAGAAAACGGAGATTATTAAATGGTAAATGTTTCAGGGCAAAGGCCCTACAAATGTGTGGAGTGTCCAAGAGCGTTCAAGCACAAGCATCATCTGACTGAACATAAGCGGCTGCACAGCGGCGAAAAGCCCTTCCAGTGCACCAAGTGCCTCAAGCGCTTCTCTCACTCCGGCTCCTACAGCCAACACATGAATCATCGTTATTCGTACTGCAAGCCCTACAGAGAATAGAAGTACTCCGTCTGTTCATTCGAGGCTCGCTCGCTTACCTAGATTAGACTTTTCGCCCATAGACTTATATAGATAGACTGTGCGCGCTTCCGTTGAAGGCAAGAAATCAGAGTTAGTAAAAGAGGACAACAGAGAATCGGATGCTTTCCTTGTTCAGTTGGTGGGAAGAAGGAAAGAGGAGGAACAATCATCTTCTTTGCTCTTGGAAAGAGATGCCCATTTTCCTTTTTCTCTCTAACTCTCATTTTAATTACATTACTATTTACTTCATTATTCTATTACTCATAATCTTTACTTTTCCAATCAGTCTCATGTAAAACTAACATCTACATAGAGTAAAGGTCAGGATCGGCCGTGGAATCCGCCGATGAATCGACTGTTCGAACATGGAACCACTCTCATTTTATTAATGTTTTATTACGTCATCTCTTCCTGGAGCATTGTATGACAGAGAGAGCATGCGACTACGTATATCTCTGTCCTTCAATGTTGTCAGATGTTGTAGAATGCACAGTCTGCTAGATAACCAAATCTATCAAAAATAGATTTTGCAATCTGCTACAAATTTTGTCATTGGAATGTCAACAGAAACCGAGCAAAATTTCTCTCTTCTTATAATCCCTGTTTTCTCCCAGAACTAAATTAAATGTATCCCCAATTCACCATTTCTCTTTCGAAGTCCTCTATCTTCTCCTGTCCAACCCACTTTCTCCTTCTCTCCCTTTCCCTTCTCTTTAATTATTTATTTCCTTCCTGTTGATTCATGCTACCACTGAGTAATGATTGAAGTCAACCTTATCTCCATTTTCGCCGCTTTATCACGCTATATGCTGCAGTATTGTGCTCGAATCTACTAGCAGACTACAGCAGATAGGATAACGGCATACTCACATATTGCTTATATTCCACTTAATAATTACATAATGACTGATTTTGCTCGGTGTTTGTTATCAGATTATTTCGGCAGACTCTGCTGGCAAAACGTGAGCTTAAGGCGCACGTAGGTACGTTCTGCTCGGATTTACTGACAAGTTACTAGCATTTTGCTTCCCGGTGATCTATATGTTTTCTTCTTACGTTTAGAATTTTCCTCTTTTATGTACGAGTCCTCCGATAACCCCTTTTACGTGAGAAAACGCTAGAACGCCTTTATACCCTCCTCTCGCGGTATAAACTTTAAGGGACGCCGCGACGTTTCGTGAAGCTATAAGTATAATATATACAAGATATAGTATATATATATGTCTAAGATGCTGCGCGACATCACATTATAAAGCCATGGCGTTATTGCTCGTCGGTTCGTACTTCAAAAAAAGAAAATATGAAAACGGTTTAGACGATGCAAATCGGAAAATTTAAAAAGTGAACGTTAGATCTCGTCGCTAATAGAAATAAGAGATGTATCGTTCAATTTTGTATCGTCTGAACCGACTTTAGAGATTTTACTAATTTTATTTTAGGGATTTGAGGGAAAAAAATGAAAACCGGTGAATATATATACAAACGAAGAAGAAAATTACTCGCGGCAAGCGCGTCGACAAATAAGCCAAATGCATGTAACGGTACCAAAAAGCATAATGCAATAATCTATTATATATATATAATATAATATACATAATATTTTAGTATTTTTATTAACAAAATATTATATATACCATGACAATAATAAGGAAACTAATTAATGTACAAATTTGTTAGCTACGTCCGTATAAGGAGCGCGATATCCATTCGCAAGAAACGAAAACAATAATAATATACAAGCTAGATTCGACGATCGAAACGAATAGAAAGAAAATGTTCTTAAACATTTAATCTCCGCGAAACGCTGTGTCGCGTATCTTGACAAATAATTTCGAAAACTCAGGTTCCAATTCGATAATTCGAATATAAGGAATGGAGATCGCGCATAGTGTATAACGAATACTCGTTCTACGCGAGTGGAAAAATGGATATATTGAGTTTTATCGAATCAAATATGTCTGGGGTACAGCTGTTAATTGAGCTTAACATTAAGGAATTTTGTCGATTGTAAAGACGGAGATTAGAATCTCATGTTCCACTTCCTTACAATGAATAACTTTACTCGAAGAAGAAAAGCAGGCTATATTATTATTATTCTACATTATTATATGTATAGAACGAAGGAAAAGGGAAGAAAAAGAGAGCGGAACGGGCGAGTTTGGATTTAAGGGCCATGCGGGTCGGTGATCGATGTCATGCGAGATCTTTTTTCGTTTTGCTATTGTACTTACAAGTTAATGACGCGTTATTCCTACAACGTGACTGTTCGAGACGATGAGAAATACGTAGTACGTCGTGAAATGCGTTACACATTCCGCGAGGATCTGTTTCTCAGGGCCTCATTATTATTTTTTTTTTATCACTTTCTTCCCCTCTTGCAACGAATAGCACTGCGTGGCACCTTTCATCAGAACCCTGACCTCGCTCTTGCCAGATAGCAGAAAGCAATCTCTCTCTCTCGAAACGCGCGACATGTACGTTTCGCGTGGCAGAGATTAAGTAATTTGGAAACTAGGTTTCTCGATGCGACATGAATGTAACACAAGAAATCCGAAAGAACGTATCCAAGAGACGTCGAAGGGAACCGCCCGAAATGTTCGGCGGTTCCTTGCGCCTTTTACGTACGTTCACGTGGAAAGGTGCGGCGCGAAGAAACGCGGAACACGTGCACCGAAAACCTCGCAATAATCTCTTCACCGAAATCCGAGGCCCGAAAAATAACCGTAACACCTAAGTATGATATTAAATGCTTCCAACATTGTACTATTAAAATTATTATATTACGACGTTTATATGATTTTATTCGTTCGAACGCGTAGAGAAATAAGGACGTATATTATATATATTATATATATACTCTACAGATTGATAATACTCGAGAATGTATTTTATAACAGTTTATGCGTCTTTTTATTTACACGAGTACTACAAGTGATAAGTGATATTGTTATCGATAAAGAAAGAAAGGGAAAATAATGGGAAGAAAGATGAGATACAGATATTACCGTATTATTAAAATTTTGTGCCAGTGTGCGTGTAAACGTATGCGCGTGTGTGCATGTATGTGGGTGTGTGTGTGTGTTCGGCATACGGCAAACCGGTACGTCACGGTTGTACTTCCTCGACGTTTCGTGCGTGTAGAAGCTTCGGTTATCCGCGATAGGCATCGTGTTTACCACTACCACTATGCGAAGAAAAAAAAAAGGAAAGAAAGGTAAAAATACGTGCAGATATAATGCTTATAATACTCATTTATTATAGTGTTAACCATTAAGAAATATATTTTTATATAATTATAATGTAATATTATATACGCGGACACACACGCGTGACATAGTACACTAATCGGTCGAGCAGCGGGGCGATCCCGGCTGCGACGGATCTCCTCCTTACATCCGAAACAGGCGCGTAGAATCGTTGTAATTTCTTCTTATCGCCGCGAGCCGTTCTCGCTCGTCTCCCATTCGTCTTTTTACAATCTGCAATCCGTGTGAAACAAGTGATTCTCAATCGCATTTCATTTTGTTACAAGCGACAAGTCGTTCCTAACTGTATCCACTAACTCAGTAGTAACTCGGTGCGCGTTCTTTCCGTTTTCGATGTTTTCCTATCTTTCTTTCTTTTTTTAATTTTGCACTGTAAGCTTCACTTTCTCCAGCGAGAAAGAAGAAGAGAGAGAGAGTGTCTCACGCTTATGTAATTTCTGCGTCTCGTTTCTCTTAGATTAGATATTTGATAAAAACGGTTCAAGTTATTCTATTTGCACCAAAACTCGAAGGTGATGTAATTTTGATGAGTTCAACAGAGAGATTTGAACTCGACGAAACTATATCGCTTCTCTAATTAATGTCTTCATTTTTTAAATGACTTCATGACCAACAACGGGTTAGGACATCAGGATGGAAAGGCAGAAAACTTACGAAGACAATATTATATACGTATAGATAATATAAATATATATAAAGTATATATTATATATTTCCTCTGATTCGGGAGCTTTTGCGACCCGCTTGCCTCAATATATGTACGTACTACTAAATAACGAAAAGTAAAAAAAGTTACAGCGTAATGTAAATCGCGCCAGCTTTTGTGCATCGACATTATCTCCCGATAACGAACAATAACGAGATAAGAAAACAAAAAGACAACAGCGAAGATAATAACTAGAAACAGAAATAATAAGTGGGGAAGGAAGGAAAAGATAGGAAGCGATGAAAATTGTTATGATTGTTGAAGCAACGATTTAATAAGCACCATACGATGCCTTCCGTGAACGACCGAGCTTGCCTAGTTGCCAAGCTAAACGAAAAATTACATAAATGTTAGCGCGACATTGTCGTCGAGAGCCGAGTCACCTTCACGATCCTCCTTGATTGAAATTACACGTGCCATCCTCAGTTATTCTCGTTCTTTAAATCTGCCATCGGTAGCGGATAAAATTCGTGATAGTTCTAATAAAAGAGAGCGAAAAATACGCTCTCTTCTCGCCCTCCCCGTTCTCTGCTAAGCAGATCGTCGGATCGATCATGCAAGGAGTATCGCGAAGCGCACGGATTTTCAGACTTATTGTACTCAATGAATACTACATGGTCACGCCATTGAGCTTTTCATTGACTTATTATATTATATGAATACGAAAAATGTGAATTGTATATATACTATATATATATGAATACTCGAAAACAAAAAAATACCGCAGACAATAATGTACCGTTTCTTTTTAGAGATTAGACGGCGTAAGCGCACTACTACACCATAGTATATATAAATATATTATATAAATATTGTAGGCATAAAAAGATAAATTTACTATATAAATTGGCGTATATATATACTATATACACAATTGTGTATATACTATATATTAGATATATATACATACAATTACATTTAATTAACAGAAATAGCGATGTGGATATTATTGTAATAAGGCGAAGTGTGAACGTACTCGAACGAGAGAAAGAGGCGAGAAAGGGACAACCTGAAGGTTTTTTTCTAACGATGTAGTGCCCGTCGCGCAAGCTCCGAGCGATGTAATGTTAAAATTAATTCGTAATAACAATTTTTAAGACGCGCCGCGCAAAATTCCGCGGAACTTAACTCCACTTACCTGGCAAATTACCAATTTATTTGAAACACATCGTGTCAAAAATCTCTCGTACTTCTAATTACTTTTTTTCTCAGATCGGGCTAGTTGTAAATTACTATCGAAGCACGTAACACTAGAAGTATTTGCATACATGGTGAGAATTTAAATTAGTGCCAATTATAAAAAGGAAAACGATCATACAACGACATAAAATTATTGATAGTTGGTATATAGTATATATAAATTCTTCTCGAAGATTATTTTGAGGAACTTTAGCTTTATATTTTGGCTTTATATTTTTTGTAATAAATCAAATTAATATACTTATATTTATGTGCTTAATTTTTTTTATTCAAATAGAATAAACAGCGCAAAAATTGAATCAAGAGTTGAACGATATTTATGTGCGCGCCGTCGCGTGTAAAGTTTCTTTAATTCTTTCTTTACAAATGTGCACTATAATTTAGTTTGAAGCATTTAACGCGAAATAAGTCAAACGTTATTCTGTGCACTTTTGTAAAAAGGTATGTTTTATTTATTTGAATAAAATTTGCCAATTTAAGTTATTAAAACTTATAAGAGTAATAATCGTTGCTAATAGTCACGATTTTGACTATTCTTGCGTATAATAATATTGTAATAAAAATATTTTCATCTTTCATGATATTACTTGTATCCAAGATAATCCGGCGCATGAGAAAAGACCGAGAGATGTTTGAATCGAGAAATCTTTCATTCTTTTCATGACCGAACTAATATCTTTATTGTTTCTTGCTAAACTTATTTGTATTAATCTAATGAAAGACGATTCTGATTCGATCGTCGGAAATGGGCATTCGAGATAGATGTGTATAGTGTGATACACAAATTGACTTAATATAAATAAATAAAATTAATATAAAATAAATTAATATGTATCGGTACGGAGAGATTCTTGCGCTGCGCTCACTACGTTGTTAACTTACGCGGCACTAACAATTCAACGGGCCGAAACCGCCGTGAGGCCCATGGGACGACGGTGGGGAAAAGAGAGGAAATAAAGAAAAATAATGTATTGTGACACGAAGTTCCATCCATAATAAATAAATGAAAATATTATACAGTTAGGCCGACTTTTCCGCCAGTTCGTGCCTTTATTCTGCAGGGAGAAAGAGAGAGAGAGAGAGAGAGCGAGCGAGCGAGAGAGAATGCAGTTTTGGAATCCGATAATCTAATAATAATGTGCTACGATGTAATCGCGCGATAATAAAAGAAAGCGAGAAAGAGAGAGTGAGTGAGAGTGAGAGAGAGAGAGAGAAAGAGAGCGAGAGAGGGAAAGCGCGAAAGAGTAAACTAGCCAGTTTAGAGGATAAAGATAAGAAAAATAAAATGATAGGAAAAAACGGGAAAACGAGGAAACCGTGAGAGAGAAACTGGAGGCATGGAAACCGATGCGCAGAACGACTTGAAAAGAAACTGCTTACTATAAACAAAAGAAAGAACAAACAGACACCGGATTATTGCATAATATATATTTTCGGAGAACGCTGCGACACACCCGTATTCTTTCGATTAAAAAAAAAGAACGTAATAAAAAAAGCGATAATACTGACAAACGGGGAAAGAGGAAAGACACACGTGCGAGCGAAAGAGCAAAAAAGAAGAAATAAAGCGAGGGAGAGAGAGTGTGTGAGGTGGAGAGAAAAACTATAGCAATTGTTGAACATTCGTTAAATTGTCCTCGTTTCACGATGTAATAAAGGCTATTTTACTTTGACGCTGTGTTTCTTGTGTGATCGATGACCCTGGGAGGGAAAATTCGGGATGCGCAATCGTACACTTTCCATACAGTCGACCGAGGTGAAAGACATTTGGTAGGACGTAACATAATAAATGGCGTATTATATTATTTGTTTGACGACGTGACGTGAGAATAAAAGAGCGAAAAAGAAAATTCAGAGCCTGTGTGTGTATATATAACAAAACATTATACTTTTATTCTTATTAATATCACATTTACATCTTCCCTGAGGATTAACGCTTTGTGACCCGATCCCGAGTACATAAAAATAGCGGTAAAGAACTTCCTTTTAGTGCAGCAGCGATTCCACTTCCAAAAAATTATAAAATTAGTTTTAACAACAATAGAATTAAGTCCAGCTTAATTTTTCTTGTGTTGTTAAGAAAGTGGATTGACAAACTTGTCGAGATGGGACTCCCCAACTTAAATTTCTAAAACAGATGCCACAAGTCGCTCGCACTGAATTCTCCGTATCTTAGTATCTTTGTACACCTTGCTATAAATTAAACCGCAACTTATATACTTTGTAAAACAAAAACAGCAGGCTCGGATCGCAATGTGTTAACGTTTAACAATGACAATTCGTGACTAACGTTACATCGCTAGTTTTAGACATTGAATATCGGCCGCGTCGCCCTTGTATCTGTTGAGCTGCCGCAACAAGTGTAACTTCGGTTGCTTGCAATGCGTCGTATGCAGCTCGTACGACGTGCACATGTTCAACAGGATCGGCTCCTGCAGGCTCTTGAGCGGATTCCTGTTGACGACGCTCTCGAACAGCCACACGGCCGCTTTCAGCTGCCCGGTGTACAGCAGACACACCGCCATGTTATTGATCAGCATTACGTTGGACGGCTCCATCGCTGACGCGGCCTGGAAGCAGCTGTAGGCCTCTTGAAAGGCGTTCTGTGCGACCGCCATCAGACCGCTGTCCACCAGCTCCCTAACGCTCGTTGCCTTTTCCTCCTTGTTGACGCGGACGAGGAACTTCTCCGCCGCCGTGACGTCCCCAAGGAACAAGTGCACCCTGCCTATCGCCGACCTAAGGATACCCGTCTGCTCCGCGCTCCAATCGGGCAGTCGGCACAGATCCTCCAGTATCTCGATCGCAAGAATGTAGTTTCTCATGCCGACGGCGCAGTTGACGACGGAAACCAGGATTCTGGACCGCCTGGCGGCCCACAGCTTCACGGAGTCCTGCTGATCAGACTCGCTGATCCTCGCGTGCGTCCCCTCGCCGCTGAGACCAGCCTGAAAATTAGCTATAATCTGATTGACAGTCGCCAGTAATTTGTATAAATTCTCCAACGTCTGTTTCGGCTTGCCGTAGTGAGACGGTATCTCCGCCAGCAGTAGTCTGAACGCGAACGACGCCATGGAGCCCGGCCTGGTGCCGTACAGCTCCGGGTAAAAGGTGAAGTACATGTCGGGCTTGTCCAGATTGCCGAACGGCCGTGACTCGTTCTCCAGCACATCCATCTGCCGCAGCTTGGCCAGCAGCGACAGCCTCGTGTACCAGAGCTGCAGAGAGTGTGGCGTGTGCTTGCTGGGCTGATTGATCTTGCCGTAGCCCTGGGCGTAGATGGCCAGCAGCCTGCCGGACAGATTGACCGCCGCCCGGTAGCAGCCGGTCTGTATCAGATTCCGCAGACCGCGCTCGTCCTGCGTCACGTCCGACGCCGTGAGCACGTTCCGGTGGATATTCTCGTCCTCGCCCAGAAAGTGAATGGAGGCGTTCTTGATCAGGTCCGGCATGTCGCCCTGCACCGCCAGCCCGGGCATGGTGAGGTTCTCGCGATCCAGGTGGCTCGCGCCGGTCGCGGTGGTCGCGACGGACCGCAGGATCTTTCGCGTGTGCTCCGACGGTATCCACGCGTCGCGGCAAGCGTCGTTCAGCGCGCTGTGCTCGACCCGCTCGACCGCGGAGTCCAGCAGCGAGGTCACGGACGTGCGCAGGGAGTTCGCGTCGAAGGCGCTCGTCGACCCGCCGTCGGACAAGGGATCGTAGTCGGAGGCCGATGGCACGTCGAACAAACCGGGCTTCTGGAACGCGACGATCTCATCGAAGATCGTGGGCGCGCTGTTCAAGTAACGACTGACGTCCACGCTGCCCTCCGTGTCCCCGTCCTTCGACTTGACTGCGTTACTTTCCATCTCGCGATCAGATTATCTTAGTCTAAGTGTCGGATGTACATTTGCCACCTGGAGAATATAAATTTGTAATAAATTCAAAGCTCCGATGTGTTAAACGTAAACTTGAAGAAATAAGAGCTACGAGCTGTGACAGGGTGTTCGTGTTTAAATAATTTTATTATCACTTTATTGCGAGAAATATTCCCTCGTTCGACCACTGAATTGGTGAGACGGCAGCCTAGTGAGAGGGCGGTTCAGGTTCAAACTCTGGCTGAGGTAATGCTTTTCGTGATAAATTTTTAATAAATTTATCTATATAGACGCCCTGTCACGGCTCTTAGCTCTTGTGTTCCTTTAAATAAATTCGTAATCTCTCTAGCATTATTATTCTAATGAAGAATGCATCGAATTGTATGCCTCGAACAGTTGCCAAACTGGAGGCTTTTACCTCTCTGTTCTTTCTCTACTTACATAGACGCCTGTTCCCTCTTCTCTCAATATCCTATTTTACTCTTCGCAGAAATTTCACAAATTTCTGTGGACGATACTTCACAACATAACGGTTGAATTGTCGGAACTTGTTCAGTGCTGGCTGTTGATGACGAAAGGTTAACCTCCCAGTTGAGGTTATCTCCACAAGTCCTCCCTACCTGTACGTCACCTGTCAATTTCGGCAGATCCACAAGTGCCATTTCCATGATTGTTAAGCTTTAAAGCATTTTCAATAAAATGAAACGGAAACGTTTCTATTTGGAAAGGAGTGTCCCTGAAGTTTACTGAAAATTTCATTAAATTTTGCTGAAATGTATATAAAAATCTCGCCCACACAATTCACTTTGTTTCAGTAAAAATTTACTGAAAGATCATTCAAATTGTTTCATTTTGAAATATACAGAGTGTTAATTAAAGACCGCCCACTAAGTGCATAGCGCTTATAAAAGTCTGAATCGAAAAGTCCGGGCTGCTTTCGCAAGAAGATCAAAATGATCCGGATTAAAATGACCTTGTGCTATGATTGGTCAAATCTGAAATTTCGTAGCATCACATTGAAATTCCAGATTTGACCAATCATAGCACAGGGTCGTTTTAATCCGGATCTATCCATAATTGGTCAATTCAGTCAAACACATAAGAATTAACCAATCACAGTCGACTATTCTTACAACTACGACTTTTATGTAGACGAGGCTGCAGCTCTCTATAATAAAGAACAGACCTAATGGGAGTTTCCCGACTTTGCATCACACAGTTCTTGCATATCCGAGGATTCCGAGGCGGTAAAAGTGGGCGAAACTGCGAAAGGTAGGCGGGGTTATGTTAGGTCGCGGCATTTAAAATCATTGCATATCAATTACAATCTTTTTGTTTAATGTACTACAGGCGCGCGAATGACCACGAAGGAGCTATAAACCCGGACGTAGCCCGCGGGAGCGGCGACGAGAACGACGGAGCTCGAAGCGCGTGGTCGCGCGACGAATGGTGAGGACTCGGGAGGTTAGGCTGGCGCGCGAAGGTTAACCGGCTTCGACGAGCACGATGATCGAGACTGACAAGAGGGGCTGCCGAGAGCTGCTGGTGCAGCGGATGATTCTGGCCGTCGTCGCGAGCGTGACGGTGCAACTGTTCCTCGTCTGCTGCCTCGTGCTGCTCGCTAATCTGAGTACGGACTACACGCGCTGGCTCGAGGAAACGTGGACCGCCGTGACGTCGCCGCGGATGTGGGCCTACTTCGTCGTCCTCGCCACGGTGACCGTCCTGCAGGGTTTCTTCTGCAGCAGCAAGTATCTGCGACCCCCGCCGTACTACAAGAGCAGGTTCGTCAGGCTGTACACGGCCATCACCATTCAGAGCTTGCTCCTGCGAGCACTGTACATCCTTATCGGTGGCATTCTGGCCTGGTTACTCCTGTCGTTGAGGAGGGGAAGCTACAGCGCCTCGACCGCGGACTGCAGCCTCGTGTACGGAACGTGCCTGATGGAGGAGTACTACTTCCTACTGTTGAGCGGCCTGTGGAGTGGACTATACTTCTCGGCCAAGACCGGCAATTTCGCGAGGAGGTACCTCCGCTTTCCCGTTATAGCGCAGTCCAAATTCCTACAGCTGAGACGACGAATCTACGCCATGCTTCCGACGCTGATGATCTCCTCCATGTGGTCGACTCTGTATTACATGGCTATTTATTATTTCGTGGGGCTGTACTACCGCGAGGCATTGTTGTCTATCGTATCCGCGCAGGTGGAGGCCAAACCCCTGGAGACCGTGTCCAGATTGCTGAATCTGTCGCTGATACTGCAGCTGTGGCTGCATCAGTTTATGTTTATGTTGATCGCCAGCAACACGTACACGTTATTCGAGATATATCTGACCGAGTGGGCGCCGTTTAAATTCAGTTCAAGCGGCGCGTACACGCCCGACAGTTCGGAGATGACTCTCGTCGACGCGCTGTCGATGGACAAGATACCGATAATGCAGCACCTGGGTTACTTGGACCTGGTCACCCTGGCCCAGAAGGAGAAAGCGAGAAGAGGCACGTTGTTTACGCTCAGTCAACCGGGCGGTCATCCGTACAACTGGAACTGCGTGGTACAGAAGAGTACGAGTCTTCTTAACAAGTTCTCATCAGACCTCAACGCGATAGCCGCCAAGTCTCAGGATCAGTCGACCTGCTACGGCACGTTGGCGGCGAGAGTACCGCCGGTTCAGCACAGCAAATACGTATACCACATGCGGAAATTGATACCAGACGTGGCGCCGACGTCGGCGGCGGAGCAGGCAGATGCGGAGGAAGCACCTTATGCCGGTTCAGCCGTTCAAAAGTTTTTCAAGCAGAGGAAAGAGGCCGTTGTAGCGTATTTGTTTTCTAAGCCGCTCATCAGTTACATCTTCGGCGAACAGGATGACAATAAAATTCGTCATGCTTTGCACAGTGGGCAACTGGTGATCTGGGCGGCCGAGGCCGTTTCGTCTGTGTCCGTCTTTTCGCTGAGCGAAGACTCTTACGGCATTGTACAGAAGGATATGCCGCTCATCGTCAACGCCCTGTTGTCGGTGAAGCAGGCGCTGGACAAATTTCAAAAGTCAGCTGTGCTGGCGAGGAAGATGCAAGCGGATGATAAGCTGGTCAGGGAGATCTTCACGGCCCTACGAAGTGCGATCAAGCGTAGTCTGTACAGAATCGTCACGAACTTTGAGCCGTACATCAGCGACCTGTCTCTCGAACCTCCGACGATAGAACAATTGCAGGGCTTCCTTAATTACAGGGAATAGTTAGTAAATATTGATATTATCACAAAGTGTACTTGCGTGTTCTGTCCGATTTTGAATCTGCCAAGAAACATTTTGCATTATAGATGTAATGTGATCGAGCGACTCTTTTTATTGATTATCTATTGATTTATGTACGTGTTAACTTTCAATATTGCTTATAAGATATTACTTTATAATGTGTGTATATGCATATACATATACATAAATAATAAACTGATATCTTTCAAAAAGTTCGAAGACTTTTCTATCGTTACTTATCTTTCAGATGAATAACATGTGTAAATTGTGAAGAGTATATTTTGAGAACGTAAACATAAAACAGTGATGCATTAATTCTGTGGCGGCTCTTTAATTACCACGAGACACGGTAGTGTCTCGCGCCAAGTATAAGCTCGCTAGACCGACCGTGTAGTTTACGCGAGTACGCGAGTTGACAGGCCCACAGATTTTCGGATCTCAACAACGGCAGATCCGACGAACTTCTAAGTGCACTTAATCGATAGCTTGGGTTTGCATAATAAAAGTGTTTTTATTGTTGTCCCACATGCCCCACGAGTAGGGATACTGCAATGCAAAGTCCGCGGCTCTGAATTTTCACGTAAGAAACGTCGTCGTCGTTAAATATTTACATGATATAGAAATAATTCGTCTACTTTATATTTTTCTTAAAACTTTGTACAACACTAAGATTGTAAAATAATTTCTCCCGCAGCGTAAGCCAGTTTCTCGTTTGCGCCTTTTGTATCTTCCGCAGATAGTCGCGTAACATATTATTCTCCGAGATCGCCGTACCATGCCACTTTAAGAACACCGCCAGATATGCCTGCGACAATTCAAAGTCCGTCTGTTGTTCCATCATGCAGTGAAGCATCTTCATAAACTGCAGCATCGAGAACTCGGCGGAACTCTCGTCCAGAGACAGCGACTGAATCTCGAAATCGATGTTACTGGGACCCATCGCCTTCAATTTCTCTATCACGTTGGAAAAATTGTCGGTAACCGATTGCAAGCTATTGTTGAACGAAGTGAGATTTTGCACGTCCGGATGGACGCGGGTGCCTTCGGTGTTTTCGTCGGCCTTAACGTCCGAGAAATCGAAGCGCACCTGCAACGACGGAATCGTAGGCAGGAAGAACGGCGCGGCCTCTGGAACCTTGGGCGGTTGCCTCGGCTTGTTTCTTCTCTTAATGATGTCGATGTCGAGTAAATTCTGCCATCTAGATTGAGCCACGGCGGACATGGTTATAAGATCGCTATCGAGCTGATCGGGAGACACGTAATCCGGCTCTCCGGCAACGACAACGTCGTCCTCGTCGACTTTCTCGACCTCCACGGACGATCCAGGGAGTCCTACTTCGGGTATCATATCGTCTTTACTGACGGCCTTCAACGACACGTGCGAATAGAGCGTGCGATTCGACCACAGGAAGATTCCCAAGTTTCGTACATGTGCGGTCGCGAGGAATTCTGCCGTTGGAGAGAAACTTAAAGATACGCAAGCTTCGGGAACCTGCAAGCGGGCACAAGATTTCTTACTATATTTTCGAATGTATTCCTCTCCAGTCCAAATAATACAAAAGTCGAAACAATACTTAAAAACGCGAGTAATCCTTCTATCGCTCGTTTACGTAGAACGATATTAAATTTACCTGAAAAATATCTATCAAGTGCGACGACGGTATGTCCCAGGTGCGGATTGTGCAGTCCATAGACGCTGTGATTAACCACCTGGAGTCGGGATTGAAACACGCGTCTGTTATTCGTCCCTCGTGCCCCTGAAAATTCCGAACTATCCTCCTCGTGTCCAGGTCCATTAGCACAATATCAAAGTTTTCCAAGGCTATAGCCACGAGGGAGCTCTCATTGTGGCAACGTATCCACTCGACCGACTCGTCCAATATTAGTATCTTCGCTGCTGTACATTTACCTGCGAAACAGGAATCGTATTACAGTATCATGTATTTAGGAGGGGAATGAAAGGAGGAATGAAAATTACTGAATGTATATCCAAGTATTCGAAAGATGGAGATAATAGGGGGTCCCATTCTTTTCGAACACCCTGTATATTTAAAACTGAATCATAACTTTCCTTATCAAATTCAATGTAATTCTGTAAATATAAGGAAAGTTAAAATATACTGTAGAAGAGTAATAAAAAGGAAATCGCGAAATATTAGGGGAAAGTTGCAATCTCTCACGGCGCAAGGGTACCTTGCTTAGGTTTAAAATCCCAAAACAGAATTCTCGCGTCTCTGCCGGCTGTGACGAGAGTCTGATTCAAATCGTCGACCATGACGCCCTTAACGGGACCCTCGTGGGCGCCGCTCTCGCCCCCGTAGGAGCCCCTGTGGATCCCCGACTGAATGTTGAATCTGTCCACGTGGCCCGTGTTGTAGCCGATGACGACAAAGTTGCCGCACCTCGTCAAGCACAAGCTGGTCGCGCTGACGCTGTAGTCGCTCTTAAATTTCTCGGGCAGCAGCTTGTGATCGCCCATCTTCTGCAGGTGAGACGACCACGTGGTGACGACGCCCAGGCCGGAGTGAGTGGCCGCTATGTTACACCACTCCTTCTCCCGCGTCACCTCGGACGCGAGTTCGATTATCGGCGGCATCAGCAACGGGTCGTCGACCGAGTGGCCCTTCTTCTTGGAGGCTTTCCTGTTGAACGACGCTCTACCCAGGCTCTTGTTCAGTATCTCCGTGACGGTGGAGAACAGCCGGATCGAGGAGTCGCCGCCCGCGGTCAGCAGATAGTTACCGTCGTTGCCGTAAAACCGGGCGATCGTCGGAGGCTCGGGGTGACCCTCCCTGATCCTCAAGAGTCTACCCGCCCCGTCGGCCATGTCGAATATCCACAGCTTGAGGGAATTGTCGGGCGAGGACGAGACCAGCAGCGGCTCGTTCGGTATGTACCTCAGACCAGTGACGGCGGCGTCGTGCGCGTTGCACAGCTGGCTCTCCACCATGCGCCGCTCCAGGTTCCAGAGCACAATCTGGCCACCCTGGCTGCCCGTCGCCATGATCGGATGGCCGTCGGTGCGAAAGCTGATGGATATCACCGGGCCCCAGTCCTGCACCAGATCGAAGATGGTCTCGTCGTACTTGAGATTGTGCAGGACAATGCGGCCGTTGCTCAAGCCTACGGCAGCCACGTCTATCGCGGGCGCTTGCTCCAGGGCAGTCACAGCGCTCCGCCAGCCCTGGTACGCGTGGACCATCTTGGTCAGCTTGATGTTCCACAGCTGCAGCTCGCCCTGCTCGCTGCCCAGCAGGATCTTGTTCATGTAGGTGTTGGGATGCATCAGCGCGGATATCCTGAACACGCTGTTGCTGAAGTGGAGCTCCAGCAGCAGGCTCTCCTCCTTGATGTCCCAGACCTTGAGGGTGCTGCTCTCGTCGACGGAGAGCAAGTGCGCGCCGAACGGCAGGAGGATGTGCACCTCGCACTCGTGACCCCTGTAGGTGTGCTTCAACTCAGTCCCCCTGCGCCACGCGTAAATGTCATTCCCGCTGGCCGTGTACACGTGAAACGTGTCCGTGGCCAGGCAGGTGATGTCGTCGGCGTGCATGCTCGAGACGCTCAGCAGAGTGAAATGTTTGCATCCGTAGGTGTGGAACTCCCGGCCCACGCACGTAACGACATAGTGCTCCTTCCTCCTGAGGATGTACCTCGTCACGAGGGGCACATGGTTGCTGACGTATCCGAGCGCCCGATTCCGCGCGAATACTTTACTCTGCACCATCGTGTATCGTCGAGAGGAGGCCCGGGTGAAGTCAAGTAAGTTTACAATACACTACCATGCCGACCAATGCCGACCATGCCTCTCGTGGAGCAACCAAGGGGGCGGCCATATTTCAAGTCACGATTCACGCGGCAACAAGAATGGCGTCTCAGGCTGGATTCATACCTTAGCCAATTACAAACTTGCAGTTTTTATGGCACAGCTGCAAGTTGATTGGCTACATATTTCTTGCATCGATTTCTAGTGTTGTGGACACAAAAAGCTTATACAAATTTTCTATCGAAATGCTGGAACGCGAATGCGTTCTTCGGTCAACAATGCATTCCGAGCAGGGTCGAGGTGTCGATTAACCCTGCGCATACGGACTGTAATTTCGCTGCTTCCGCCTACAAACTGGGTCGAAAACGCCCAGGCACTTTTTTCACTGTGTTACATCGCTTTAAAAAATCTGAAAAAATTCATGAATACTCTTGAACATTTCTAGAATGTGAATCAACAATAATTTAAGCGAAAAAGTTATTATATTTAACACTATAACTTGTTATTTGAAGGAAAACGATGGAAAAACGGATTTTTGCTTAAATTTCAATAATTAAAAAATGCGTAGTAATTAAGAAAAGTTATCATGGATTCTGGTCATGGACACTCTACTGTTTAAGAAAAACCGGGCTGCGATCGTTTCTGCCGAAAAAAGTATAATTATTTCATCGCTTGAAAATACACAATTTTGACGAGGGGAAAATCGAGGATTTTCATGAAAAATAAATCGACGATCTTTTTTTTCGCAAAATTATATTATTTTTATTAATTTTAATGTAAATACATGAAAAGTAATGAAAAAAATCTTGAAAATTATGAGCAAGCGTGACATGTTTTGCAAATGTTTACGCGATGGTCGTCGCAAGTTGGTTTCTTACACAATGCACAACAATAAACAGTTTTTTTTTCAGTTATACAAAATGAACAGCGTTTTCTTTTTTGTAACTTGTGAGTCTGTGCTGTAACAGTCTGTATCTGTGCTGAAAGTTCCGGGTTTATTTGAAGTATTTCGTTTATCATGACACGTAAATTAGCTCGCAGTGTTCGTGCGGTAAGGCGAAATCGAAGTTGTGGTTCGACCAGGGAAAAAGTCAGATCCTTGAGAAAATCTCTTCGATTTAATCCCTCATTTGATGATCGCAAACTGTATAATATAAAGGAATTGACTGCAGCATGATCCATCATGTCAAAAAACAATCTCAGAGGCCACCTAGCAGTGACGCGAGCAGTGGTGTAGAGGTGGCACATCTGATCAAAGGTATCGGTCCCTCCTTTTGTGCGGTTGTAGAAAGCTACTATTTCCGGTTTTTCGGTTTCTTTGTCCAGTCGTCCACTGTTGTGCAAGCTTGATAATAATATAACGACCTTGTTTTTCTTAGGACAGTACGAAACTAAGGTATTTCCTTCGGCGTATGCGTAGCGAGTAGTACCAGCAGCCGCTGTTCGCGTGAACGATGGTGGTATTTCGCGTTTATTTTTTCGTACAGTGCCAATCATGGTTAGGCCATAATCAGTTTTCATTTTTCGAACAAGATCAACGGACATGAACCAATTATCACATGTGATATTTCGTCCCGTGTTATAAATTGATTCTGACAACCGTCGAACGTAATAGCTTGGCACAGATTCACCTGCACGGGAAAGAACCCGCCCTACGTAGGGCTCCGCGTTTATCATATATGAAGTTTGCACATCGTGCATGGATACGATTTTTATACCGTACTTGTCTGGTTTACTCGGTATGTAGACTTTCGAACCAAAACGTCCTCGAAAATTGAGAAGTTGTTCGTCGATCGTGCAGTAAGTGGATGGAGAATAGTATCGCGTGCAATTGGAAATAAACATATCCCAAATTTCTTTTATAGGCGCTAATCCGTGCACTTTTCGACGTTCGACTCTGGTCGCCTTATCGTCAAAACGAAGACACTCCAACAAATAATGGAAACGGTTTCTTGCCATTACAGCTCTGTATAAATTACTTCCAAATCGTGGCTTCCACAAATCCTCGGTATTGGTGTGGTTCTGTTTTTCCATTCCGCTGTAATATAGTAATCCCAGTAAAGCCTTTAATTCCACCAAATTTGTTTCTGTATAGCCTTCAGTCGGGTAATTATCTCTTCTTCGAATTTCTGCATTTGTTTGCAGAATGACTATTTCTAATAACTCAGTCGGAAAAAGTAGACTCCAAGCTTCTAATGGTGTTTTTACATTTCTTGCATCTCCACTCCCTTTGGGCAAATAAACTTCCGTCGACCGTCGCCCTCTTGTTTCCGGAGCAGTCTTGTACCACTTGTAATTATTTTTACCCTTTATAACTGACTGAGGACGCCCTGATGTTTGCGCTTCCTGCTGTTCGTCAGACTCGTACTCCAGATCGTTTTGATATGTATGGTCGAGGCTGGTATCTTCATCGCAATCCTGAATATCATCGACCTCGCTAAACTCTTCTACGTAATCCACTTCATCTTCCGACAACTCCTCGTAATTAATCTCAGGAGGTCGCTCTCGAAGAAGTCTTCTTATATCCTTGGGACTTCTGTCCGTCATACTACCAAAAAATGTATTTTTGGTTATTTTTATTTTCTAAAATGTTTTTATTTATTTTTAATTTGTTGTTGTATTTTTGAACGTATTTATATATTTATATCCATATATTATATATTTATATCCATTTTTGAAAAAAAAAATTACCTTTTTTGGACAAAAAAATTTTAAAAATTAAAATGTTTATTTACATACCTTAGTGCACCGTTTGGAGGCTTTTGGCAGCAAAAAAAATAGATGCGCTAAAATCTCTTTTTACTAACGCGCCCTACAGACTGGGTCGTTTTCGCCGAGCGCTCAACTTCCTCCGGCTGTAGCTCAGAGACTAACTGACGCAATACGGCTGGGCTTTGCCTGCAGGTCCATGATGTAAAAAGAAAGGTGTATCATTGCGCATAGCGGCGGCGGCACGATGAGCGAGCCAATGAAATTTGGGTCCAAATGCACATGGACTACTGCAAGAAAGGTGTATCATTGCGCATAGCGGCGGCGCACGATGAGCGAGCCAATGAAATTTGGGTCCAAATGCACATGACTACTGCGCATACACGATGTTGTTACACCTTTCTTTTTACATCATGTGCAGGTCCCTACCAACACTAAGTTTTTTTAGGGAGGGGAGCCGACCCCCTCCCGTTCTTGGTTTTCTGGGAATTCTCGAATGAAATTTCGCTTGGGTCGTTTTCGTCCCAGTCCGTATGCGCAGGATTAAGCATGAATCAAAGTTTCAATGGAAAGTGACGTGTGTCCACTTGTCAAAAGTGTCGACTTTTCTTAAAAGTTTCTTAAAAGGAAAGCAGCCTACACAAATATACATACATTACATAGTATAAACAATTTCATCACTGGAGTAGTGTATGTGCATACACACGTACGTATATCGAGCTCGAACCTAACCTAATCGAACCCTAACCTGACTACCAAGTATATTAATCGGTTAAACTTAACGAGTTTCTTCAAGATGTTCTCTTATAAGATACACAATCCTTTTATATATCTATTCTCAGAATCATTAATTGTTTTGCAATTGATACGGTTGCTAAATAGGAAATCATGTTGACGTTACATGTTGGCTGTGTTCTGCCGAAGTTAGCTAAGAATAAGCGCTTTATGCTGATTGGATAGATCTAGAAGAATAGCTCTATTTCAGCACAGATCTGAAAGTATAATCCAATGAACGCAAAGCGCTTAGCAAGCGCAAACTTCTGCTGGACACAGGCAATCGCTGCGTATCGCTACGCACGCTACGCGCGACACTCCGTGTAAAAGCACCTTTGTCCCATTCAACTATTACAAATTGCCACCGAGGGTCAGAGTCGGGTCAGAATCGGGTTGGGGTGAACGCTCTTTCGGTGGAAACACCAAAATACCAAACCCCAACCCGATTCTGACCCTCGGTGGAAACGTAATCTATTATCGTGCTACATACACGATGCTTTTTTGCTTCTACTTGCACGCGCGCCCGTTGATTGGTTCTCACCAATCGGAACGCAGCGTGATAGATCAGTTGACTTGAAACTATAATCTGATTGGTTATGAACAGCCAGCACGGGCGCATGCCAGCAACTAAAACAACACACAAAAAGCATCGTGTATCGCTGACTTAATAGACCTCTTCGAGAAAACTTACGTAAATTTAATCAAAATATTTCAGCTATTGTCATGCGGCGAGAGATAATGTAGATAAAAGAGACTCCACCCAGAAATTGGCCAAAGTCGGTTCCGGCAGAAGTGGTCGTCCAAGATTCTCCGCGCGCTATATTCGCCAAGATTAACAGCTCGCCAAGCTAACGGGAAGTATTAGAAAAGTGCATTTGCAAGGAATTGCAAGTAAATTTTAACATATTTACCTCGACATGGCAAACACCGGCCTGTTAGTCCTAACAAATCCCGCGAGTATAAAGGGCCTGCTGGTCGTTATTCAGAAGCACGTCCTGAAGACGTTGTACATTCAATACTTCCCGGGGAAGAATATCTTCGCGGGCAATTACAACGCCGCGACGTTGCAGTGGAAAGGGCCTGACTATTCCAATAAGGTCGCCGACATATACATGAATACCTCTACCATCGCCTCCCGCCTGGACGTCCGGGTTTTGCTCACCAACCTCAAGTACCCCGACAGATTTACGATAAGCACCAAGAAGCCGGTGGAGGTAGTGATCTTCGATCAGAAGTGCAGCGAGAAGGAGGCAGACACGTTCATACAGGACCGTTTGTCGAACAAGTCGATCAACTATCGCTTTGTTAACTACTTATACATGAACTATTACAACAAAGTGGAGTTGGATGTTAGGAATGCGAAGACTTACGGGAATGTAGTGCTGGGTGGCACGTTCGATCGGCTGCACAACGGCCACAAGATCCTATTGAGCGAGGCCGCATTGCATTGTACAGAAAGACTCACCGTTGGTGTGACGGACACCAATATGATATCTGGTAAAAACGAATTCTTAGAACTTGCTCGACTTAGGTCGATTTACCTTGTAATAAGCCTTGACACGTTATGCATATCTGCGTTATTGGGTTTTGGCATGAAATTACATTATGTAACGTTATTGTACCCGCCGAGGTTTAACTAACAATTGCAGGATTGCAATATCCACAAGGACCCTCGCTCTAACTTGATAAAGACCATAATCCGGATGGTCGAAACGTAGTTATTTGGAATACTAAACCTCGACCAGTTCTGGTCGAAAGAATCTGTTTATTTGTTAATGATTTTGCTGGCGACACATAGTTTTGGTTTATTATCTTGTAATGTCTCTGAATAGTTTGCAGACAAGAAATGTGGGATACAGTTTGATAATGTAATTGCACACTCGATGGCACAAGTTCTAAATTAAAGAAATATTTTTAGGTAAAGTATTGTGGGAGCTGATACAACCGTGTGCCCAACGAATAACGGAAGTCAAGGGCTTCCTGGAAGATGTGGACTCGTCGATAACACATAACGTTGTTCCTATCAATGACATGTACGGGCCTACGAAGGAGGATCCCACGCTGGAGATGTTGGTTGTGAGTGAGGAGACGAAACGCGGAGGTGAAAAGGTCAACGAGCTACGTTTGCAGAAAAATTTAAGCGAATTGGACGTCCATACGGTAGAATTGGCAATTGACGAGGCTCACAATGAATACGAAGAGGCCAAAATTAGCTCTAGCAATCATAGGATACGATTACTTGGCACAAGGCTTCGAGCTCCTGTAGGTTTTTCTACCGTGTATACATAATGTACTTTGAAAGATTACAAAATAATTTTTATATGACATCTCTATATATAATTCTACGTAAATTGCATTTTGTCTAATAGTCTAGTTCTTTTGTTAGAGAGAGGACAGAGTTATGCAACCCTATATCATTGGTTTGACTGGTGGTATTGCAAGTGGGAAATCTTCGGTTGCCGAAAAAATGCAACAACTCGGGGCTGGTCTCGTAAATTGTGACAAGTTAGCACATGACTTGTATTTACCCGGGACAGAGTGCTTTAACAAAATAGTCGAACACTTCGGTTCTTCTATTCTCAACCCAGACGGGTTTATAAACAGGAAGTCGCTTGGTGATATAGTATTTAATAATAAGGTGTTTAATTTAGTCTCGGATTCTACAGCATCGGTTATTAGATATTTTATAGCGATATATGTTTTATGTAGGAACAATTGGAAAAATTGAATAAACTAATCTGGCCTTTAATACTGCAAAGAGCTAAAGAAGAAATATATCGTCTTTATAATAAGGGTTGTAATATCATCGTACTGGAAGCAGCAGTTTTGATTCAAGCTAAATGGCAGGATGTATGCAGCGAAATTTGGACTTGTATTATTCCACAAAACGAGGTTGGTCCTCATCTTACAGATAACTCATATTTTGCATATGTATAGGTGACAGGAATTTATTTATCTATTCTTAAAAATTTTCCATTTTACGTTTAGATATGTATCAAGTATTTCTAATTGTTTATATAATTTGAATATTTTTATAAATTTATGTTAAATATATTTGCAGGCTATAAAACGAGTCATGGATAGAAATGGATTATCTGAGGAAGCAGCGAAGTTACGAATTGAAATGCAACCAAGTAACACGGAGCAAGTTAAGGAAGCCAACGTTGTCATAAGCACTTTATGGAGTCATGAAGAAACTTCAATACAAGTAGAAAGAGCGTGGGGAGAATTAACAACAGATTTAAATAGATTACAAAATAGAGCTTGTACCTACAAATAACATAGTCAATCATTCTGTGATATATACAATATTAATATATTGAGGGAAATATTGGTAATTGAGGGGGGCGTATCTTTGGTTACATAAATAACTACAACAGAGATAGATATTAATAATACAAGAAAACTATTTTTTACCATTCATATGATTGTTATACAAATAAAAAGTGAACGTACTATTTAGAAAATAATATATTATCACTCGATATCAATTTTTCTTCTTTGTCTTCGTGCAGCTTCGTCATTAGGGCACTTAGAAACAATCGAAAATCAGCCTTTAATTTATCACCACCGTCATCCACGTTACATTTGACATGAGAGACATTAGGGAAATTGGACGCTTTAAACATGTACAATAATTAAAAAATTAATTAATACAAAAGATTTCTTTATTTTAAACTAACTTTTCTCTATTTGGCAAATAGGGAAAAGTCGTTGATTTAAAAATCAAGGCTTTGTTGTGGAATTGGATTATTACTGAAATACTTACAAATAATTTTCGACGCGCTTGATGTATTATCAGGATCGAAGAAAAATATTACACAATTATTTGGCCCTAATTTAGCTCCGCTAACGAAATAATCGTAATATTCTCTCAACTTTTTCGAAGAATCCTGTATTTTAGCACTGTATACGAGTATCACACCATGTACGTCTTTACGTATAGCTGGCCAGCAATTCTTAAATCTGTTAATAACATTTTTATAACGTTTTGTATTTCTTTCATTCAAGGCTAATCTATAATGTGTTCTTTGCGTCTAGAAACATTCTATTTTGTAGCCAATAAATACGTTTGAACAATATGTACAAGTTGATAAATTGTACATTATACATTGTACAATCGTTAATTGTCGACAAATGTTTTAAGCGGTTTGATTTGCTTATGTAAAATAGAATGTTTCTAGATAAGGTTTTAAAGTTTAATTTTGCGAAAGCATGTATATTATTGTTTACTTGTGATTTCCACTGCAGTCCCACAGCTCGAGATCTCTCGAGATGCGTTCATTATTTATTTCAATATCATTAATTTCAAATTCTAATATTCGAACACCTTGAGTTGGATGATAATCGTATGGAATTTCTGTAGCATCCGCCAAAAAATTTGCTATTGTGGTCTTCCCACTCTAAATAGGCATGTGTGTGTGTATATATACATACATATATGTATATGTAATTCAGTTATGCATATTTTGGCTTAATCTTGTGAATTACTTGATAGCCTCTTTTAATTACTTATACAAATATTTAATTGATAGATGGATCTTACCTCAGTTGGTCCTGTCATTACCAATTTTAATGTGTACATTGTTTTATAACAAATAGAATTGAAAATCTGGATACTTATAACATATTATTAGAAAAGTTGTTGCAAGTATATTAACATTCCATTGCACCTGACGATCGTATAATACAACAATGTCCGTCCAATACTGAATGCATTATTGTTTGGCAATTGTTGCTATAACAACCGTTGTCCTAGTATGTGTACACATTACTGAGAAAGCAATTTCAAACGGGCATATATGTATATACATATGTATGTATGTACATACTTTGGCTTAATCTTGTAAAATATGATAGCCTCTTTAATTACTTGTACAAGTATTTAATTGTGGGATGATCTTACCTCAGTCGGTCCTATCATTATCAATTGGCATATGTATATACATATATATTTTGATATTCGGATTAAAATTATTATAGGAAATATCGAACTAAATAATCGATTACAAAATAATTAAGTAATTAAATATATATGTATACACACATGCATTTGCAATTATAATGTTCATTTAAACATAATTAAGTATTTCTCAAAGCATCATAAAATATGTACAAAAATGAATATTGCTGTTTGTAAAGCTAAGATATTTTATTGAATACATAATATTCAATACATTCATTACAATACTGTGTTCTTAACAGTATATTTAACACTATGTAATACAATGGTTTATATAACCATTATTATTGCAGTGATCAACATATGATTATAATAAAAATTATAGTTCGGTTATTTGCTTATTATATTGTGAAGTACACTTTGCTATTGTGACGTAAATAATTTCGGGTGAAATACTTTGTTTAAATTTTAAATAAAATTATATCAAAATATGTTCACCAAAGAACATTTTAAATACATAACAATAAATTATAATTCTAATAGATATTTTTGTTTCTCGTTTTACTGACGAGCATTATCGTATTTGCATGACTAATGATTAAAAAAAGTGATATAGAAGAGAAAGTTAAATGACTTAATACCAAACTTGTTATAGTACTTTTTGTCCTCCAAATTCATTAATTTATGTCAAACGCAATTTTTTAAAGTACTTTAAAGTATCATATTAATTATTATACATGGTATCTAATTTCTTATTGACCAATCAAGTTATGTAATCGTCTCTCACTTTTCGACGTGTGACTGCACCTCTCGCTATCGGACAGTAGGAGATATAAATAACCAATTTTGCATGTTTGCATAATTTGGCTTATCCGTTTATCATGCGTTCATTCGCTTTGATGATTTTGTTTATTATTCAATAACTCATACGAATTTTACAAATGGTACACTTTCCTTTCCGGTGATTTTGATCCAATCTATTATCACTTTGCGGTTGGCCAATAAGAAATTATGTACCCTGTATACACCTATGTTATAAGAATTATGTATATATAAAATATATTAAGGATTAATATACTTTAATTTTTCTTATATCATAATTTGTCGAAAATAATTTTGTTAAGAAACAAAATTATATGCAGAGAAAATAACATCACAAGAAATTAGGTATTATTAATTTATTTAAATTGTGTGACTCAATCTGTATTTATATTTTGACATGTGCTAACAATCGTACATTTATTACGTAATATCAAGGCAAAATGCAATTAGGCAAAAAGAAGAAAAACTCAACCTAGGTAAATCATAATAGCAGTGTAAGCAAATCACGAAAATCAGTTTAATACAATATTTTGTGAACAAAAATGAAATTTAAAAAATATGTGTATATTTTGACTCGATCATGTTAAACAAGCTATTTATTTTAACCAATTGCCAGTAAATTTGGCTTGTCATCCTCAGGATACGCCAGGTCGTATAATGCCAATAGTGCTGCTTTAGCTGCCGCTTTCTTGGCATCTTTCTTGTTTTTAGCTGAAAGATAAAAATTATTGTTTATATTAATAATAGCGAAAATCTTTCATAATAATCCGTAGAACATGTATACATACCTGTTCCTGAATATTCGACCCCACCAATGTCAACAGCCAGAGTGAACATTGTATTCGGTGGGTTACCAACACGGTTGAGCTCTACGTATGTTAACCCAGGCCTCATTTGATTCAGCAACATAACTGGATGTATATTCGTAGGATTAGGTGGAAGTTCCTTTTGAGCGGGAAGTTTAACACCAGTAGGACTCTCTTTCTTGATTCCTTTTGTAGTTGGTAAACCAGGTCGCGGGACTGGAACTGATGTTCCCTGATTATGCCATTCAAGAAAAAGTTTGTAAAGTGCAAAACTGGCCAATGAACTCCATGGTATCTCATCTTCAGAAGTACTCGTGTCCATAGCGATGCTATCGTCATTACTTTCTTCTTTTATTCCATCTATAGGTGGATTAACAGTTTGTCCATCTGATTCGGCATCAATACGTGCTTTCATAGATGCCGCCGTCATTTTTTCAAGTAGCAAAGCCTTTAAAGCATTTTCAGCTGCATTTTGGCGAGCAAGCGGTTTAGATAATCCTTGTCCAACGTAAGTTTTACCATCAAGCTATAAGTGAATGTTAATAAAGTAATTTGAAGATAAGATCTGATATAGCATATTACACATTAAATAACACATGTATATATATTGTAAGAATTGTAAAATTTTAATTAAAGCCATAAAATAATTACTTCAGCATGAACGAGATAGAGTGAGTTTGACATGGGTCCCTGTGTTTCCGGGAATGTAAATTGGACTCCAGCTTTCATCTCATTTAATACCATGATTGCATTTTTCGGTTGTAAAGTTTTCCGCAGACGTTGGTTCATACGAAGGCGCTTTAATCTTTTATTTACTTTAACTACAAAAATAGTTACATTAGTGTAATGTACATATAACACAATATGAATAATTAGAATTTATTTTACACGTCAGTAAAGAAATTCACATTGATTACAGGAGAGTCTATCCTCAACAATATGTAATTGAGCCAAGAATATGCTCCTGAATCTTCAAATTTGCGCAGTGAAATGTCATCATAAAAAGAAAAGGATTCTTAAGACTCATAACTTGTTATCGTAAGAACTAACTTACGAGTAATCTGCAATTCTATGCGTACCGGATATATTCAACCAGTGACCATACGCCATACGGGGCACGCGCATAGAATTTCAGATTACTTGTAAATTAGTTCTTATTGTTAGTCTTACGATTTTGCAGCGTCAATCTCATATTATACAAATAATATACTGCTACAATTCTCTTTTTTTTAATTACAAATTCTTTGATTTATTTATGTGTACTTATGCCTTGCAAGATCTTTTTAACATTATAATAATGTCGAAAAGGTGATCAAAATACAGAATTAAAACTGGCTGTAATTAATTGCATTAGAACATTATAATAGGGCATGTCTTCGTTATATAACTTAATATTATTCAGATTGTTCGAAATATTGAAATTAAAATCCTAAAGAGATTACAGGGATGCACACTAAAATAGTACGTTCCTATAATCTCTCTTTAATTTAGAAGTACTTACATCCAGGTATCTTTCTTCGCCACCTTGGTTGGACATCTTGCAAATCAACATCCATGTTTTCGTTCTTTTCATCCATAATATCAGAATTATTATTAACGGAGCTTGGAGAAGATGCTGCAGGAGGCATACAAGATTGAGGAGTCACAGGTGGAGTTTGTGCAACGGCCGTAGCCGGCTGTGCAATTGGTGTACTCTGTTTCAAGATCGGCTTCAATCGCTGCGGATTTGGAGCCTGTTGCTGCGACTGTTGTTGCAGTTGCTGTTGCATGACGTGCTGGCTAATCTGCTGCTGCTGCAGTAGTTGTAGTTTTTGCTGTTGCTGCTGCGGCTGCACTTGTAGCTGTTGTAATTGCAACTTTGGCTGCTGCCCTTGCTGTTGCTGCTGCTGTAATTGTTGTTGGGGCTTTTGCTGAAGCTGTTTCAGCTGCGTAGGTGCTACAGTCGGTACAGGTCGTGCCGACGCGGCTGCCGGCATTTGCGCTGGCGGCGGCTGCTGCTGCTGCTGCTGCTGCTGTTGCTGTTGCTGCTGTTGCTGCTGTGATTTGAATCCTTGTGAGTTTTGTACGTTGTCTTGTTTATAATTGCTTTGTTGAATGGGCGTGGATTGCGATGCTTGGTAACTTCCTTGTGTATTATACTGTAAAACATAGGGTGGGTCGCCGCTACACAAGGAACCTCTACGGTTGTGCTACCCCACCAAGGTCTAGTATCGTATGTTAGAATAATTAAACGCTACCCCCATAGCTCATACCAACCATGTTACCTTTACTGTGGCCAGCGTCTCTTTACTCATGACTGAGCTTAAGTGAAATTAAAAATATACTAACGGTAAAGTATCCCTTGACAGAAGTCTATGAAAAGAAAATTTCAGACTATGCTTCTCATCGTCAAATTGGTATACGTATTAAAGGGTAAAAAGAGATCGGTAAAATATTAAACTCTAACGTTAATATGCTACAAAATTATACTGTGGACTCTTTTTTTGTAAATATCGTAAATTAAAGAATCTATGTGACCTCTTACTGAAATGTAGTATGAAGTATTTGATGCTGCGGGTAGAATGCTCATGATAACGTAGCATTTCTACGAGTGTGATTCGCTTAGGCACGAGTTCAGCACGAATTACCAAGAAAACGGCCTACGGTAAGGTATGCTATGTGGGTAACCGACGACCTAGTCTTTGATCGAATGCACCTCCTCGGTATTTTTGTATAGCTACTAGTACCTGCGTTGCAGGGAAGGGGACAGTAGGGACCACTAATTAGTACATGCAAGTGGAAATCTTGTCGACAGCGTATGGAATTTAAATTACGTATAAAAACAAGCACGTTATCGTATTCTTCAAATTGCAATAAAATACTTTCAAGTCAATGCTCGAAAACGCTCGCGCGATGGCACGACGTATCTAGTTTTCCTTATTTCTCGGAAAAGAAGTTGAAGTTCATATCAAATATAGATTTTTATTTTGACACAGGTAAACTTGTGGCTGGATAGTTTCTGCTGTGATGTAAAAAGTACGTCTCTCTTAATATGTCGTAAGAATAAAATATATAGTACACAAAAAAAAGGTAAAGTGACGATCTTGCGACACAACAAATAAATATCTCGTCAAGTGGGCGAATGTTATTTAAACAAATTAGTTTTCCCGGCTATCCTAAATAAATTTTGTCATCTGTCCTCTACGTTTATCTGCGTGGAATTGTAACACGTAAAGTTGTTTAGATTTTTACGAAATAAGAAATGTATATTTGATACAAGCAATTATATAAATAGACTTAACAGTTTATGAATATTTGCTATTTCTTAACTTCTCTTTCACAATGATACAATTAAGACGGGAAACTTATAGCCAACCCAACTGGCTAGTTATTTAATTAGTTCATTACACAACGTATCGACCCTATTCTTTGGGTCCTTTTCGAGTGATACTGCAAATCAACAACAACGCAGTTACGAAATAATGTGGGTTAATAAGTAAAAAGGATTAGTTAAAAAGTTAAAAGTTGAGTAACGCACCTAGTCAGTCATCGTCGTCGAATAAGACAGAGTTGAGTTATAAAATATATGTATAAGTGTGAGCACTGTGGTAGCTGGGCTCGAACTAATTTGTTAATCGTGTCTTAAGAACAATACAAGGTGATATTGCGAACTAAACAGTTTTGAATACACACTCGTAATTTACATTGAAGTTTTCGGTGTCTGTTTGTAAATTTAACGTGTTATCGGTCTTCTTGATAAAAAGTATTTCGGCGATTTCTCTTTCGCTTCTAAGGCGCTCGCTATGTAAAATTCTTGGTTCCGACCAGTTGAACTCGTGATCACTTAGGTGACTGACTTAGGTGCGTTACTTAACTTTTAACTTTTTAACTAAATCCTTTTTACTTATTAATCTACATTATTTCATAACTGCGTTGTTGTTGATTTGCAGTATCACTCGAAAAGGACCCAAAAGAATAGGGTCAAAACGTTGTGTAATAAACTAATGAAATAATTAGCCAGTTGGGTTGACTGTAAGTTTCACGTCTCAATTTTTAATCATTACTGGTGACAATAAGCAAACTCTCCTTTCGTCGATACAATTAATGCTAATTTTTATACATATACTCTTGAAGAAAAATATAACGGACTTTTTATAAAATATAAGATTTATAAAAGATGGAGTAACGTAATCTTTAAATACAAATTATCTATTTCCGTGATTCTTAAAACCGTTGGTCCAAGCTTTTGCTCCAATGTACATATAACTAGAAATAACTTTATGAAAGTAGCGTAACCATTTTCTTTTTAAAAAGCGACAGCTGTGCTTGCGCGGCAAAATAACTCTAAGTCCAAATCATCGCATTAATAAATCTATCTCGCCCTAAACGATTGCGTGTCGAAATAAGTGAAAATATAGTCACAGATATCATTACATAAATTATTCGACAGTAAAAGAAAAGAACAAGAGAAAAAGAGACAGAGAAGAGAGGAAGCGCTTACAGGTATCGTGTAAGATCCTTGTCCTTGTCCTTGGCCTTGGCTCTGGCCTTGGGGATTGTTTGGATTCCGTCCTGCAACACCGAATTACTTTTTAACAACGATTGCGAGCGGCATGTGGGAGAGTATCATTCAGCTCGTTTTCCTGGTGAAGAGAGAGAGAGGGGGGGAGGGGGAGAGAGAGAGAGGGGGGAGGGGGGAAGACGAGAGAATTCCCCGTCGGGATATCGGCGTCAACGTCGCGACCGCAGGTCGCACGTTCAACGAGCATGTTCTGACGTCGCGCCATGTTCTCGCGAGCGCTGCAATGCGAAAATTCAGGCGGACGGCCGCCATCTCGCCGCGCTAGCCGGCGTATACGCGGGTATTGATTTTTTCACCCCCCATCGCGAGAGAGATCACTTTCATCCATCGGCGTTGTCGCCGACGTTGTCGCCGTCGACGCGACGCGAACCCGGGAACTCTTATGACGCGCGGCAGAAAAGGGGAAAAAAATCTCACCGTTGTTGTAGCTCTGGTTCTGTTGCCTGCTTCGCGTGTACATGTTGGATGCGACAAGCGCCTAAGTCCAGCGGAGAGCTATCGCTGTCGTCGTTGTCGGTTGTCGGTCCCTAACTACCGAGACTCCAAATTCGGTCGGCGACGTGAGGTTCAACTTATACAGCCAGTCCAGTTTCCGACGCCGTCGGTCCTATGTGCCGTGGATAATTTAACCGTCACTTCATGCTCGCCGCACTCCGGCTTGCTCCGGCTACTGTGTCATGTAGGAAGGGGAAATGACGCCCGGCTTTTGGACTATCGGAAGTGGCTGGTCCGCCATGTTGGTTCTCTGTCGCGCGGCATATACGAGAGCCGGGCCGTGCCGCGACTCTTCGAAACAACAGCGTCGTTGTTGTATTATCGTCGCGCAGGTATAATATGTTGTAAAAAGCTGCGCGACGACGTAACGACAACGACTTTATCGTTAAAAGGTACGGGTCAGCATAATTCGCATATTGTGGCAAGTTATAAATTAATCTTACGACTTAAATCGCGCAACATGCGTGTCGTTAGTTCATTGGATCGCACGATAAAAGACTACAATAAAATGTAAACGAATTTGTATACATAAAACAGAATGTCCATTTGCACGTTCTCTATTGATTCCGAAGCCCTTTGATCAAATCTTGTAAATAATCTTTGTAAATTTACGACTTGAATCGCACATTGTACAATTGTTATTTCATGGACAATGAAGTATTGCAACAATGTAAACAAAATTTGTATACGTAAAACAGAACATTTGTTTTGAGTTCCCTGTCAAGGCCTAAAATCTCTTGTAAAGGCTTAGTTACGTTCTTAAACCGCTACAAATAATGTTTTACAAATATGGAATTGAAAGTATTGTTTATGGATACTTCAATATGTATAATTCTATTATAATTTAGAATTTTATTTTTCACATCATACAAAAAGTAAAAGGAAACCGTCAAAATTTTGATTGCACTCTAACAGTGAAAAAAATTTGAAATAAAAAGCGTTATTTAGAAAGAGATATTATTAAACATACATTTATTTGTAGACTGAATTATAATAATAAAGATTTTTGCATTTTTATTAAGAAAAATAAAAAATTAAATTCAAAACAGATAATAAATTAAATATTGATACATTAACGTTAATCGTTTATAAATCTTGACGATTTTAATGTACAATTCGTTATATTCTTCGAGCTCTTTGATTAGAACTTTGCGTGTCTTATTTTCATCATATAAAGATATAGAGACATTATTCAGATGACACTAAATAACAGAAATGTCATGTCCATCATTGTATAAAATTCATATATTGATTTCAGTTAAGTAAAGCATACACTTTTCTAAGCTCATAGTAATCCTTCCATTTCTTGCATAAATTGCATATACGCATCATCCTTCGTCTTAGGTTGCGTCGTTCTGAGCGGCTGCGCTTCCGGTAACCTTTCTGTAATCCTGGAGACATTACTGGATTTCTTTTTATCATCTCTCTTCACGCGCAAAGACGTTGGTAAAAATCTCGTAACGTCAGCAGCCAGATTCCTAATTTGTGGTTTCGCTTCGATAGTGGTGGTACTTTTCCCATCCTTGTCCTTTCTGTTGATCAGCTGCGGTGCGGCGGAAAGCACGTTAGGTGTCTTGGGCGGCGCAGCAGTTCCAGACTGCGGCTGTATTTGAGGATTTGCTATATTCGACATATTCGACATCTGCATTTGCGGCAGTGGCATTCTAGGTATACTCGGGGGCCCGGGTCTCAGTATCCTCGGCATTCCAGGTGGTGGACCTGAAAGTGATTCGATCCTTATGTTATTTTTTTTTCGTTCGTAAATAAGTAGGTATTGTGACTGGAACTCAAGTCCATTTCTATTGGAAAGTTACAGACGTCACAGTTTGAGTAAAATGCAAGAAAGAATTTCAATATATCACCAGGTGGTAATCGTAGTCCGATACGAGGTGGCGGCGGCGGTGGCATTCTGAGATGCAACGGCGGTGGAGGTGGTCTGTAAAGCAGAGGCGGAGGCGGCATGCCCATCGGCGGCATCGCGCCGTGTTGCTGCGCGTGCTGGGCGTGGGGATGAGACGTGTGCTGCCCGTGACCAGCGAGATGCTCCGATGCTCCAGGCGGTTCTATCTCCTCGTCCTCCCCTTTGCTACTAGATTTATTATTGCTAGACTTAGCATTGGCCTCGTTCTCCGTCTCGAGCAGCGACAGTCGCGCGTTCAGATCTTGAGCGCGCTCGGTCTCCCTCTTCTTATGGACGACTTCCATCTCTCGCATGAACTGATCGATATCCTGCCCCGCCATTGCCAACATTTTCTGCTGCAACGTGGTCGGTTTGACTTTTGCCATATCTCTGTCCTTCTCCTTTTCCGCGTCTTTTTCCTTGCTCTCCAACTCTTGTTTGTCCTCCTTGTCGTCGGCGAATCGTATTGTTCTCGATTTCGCTGGTGGATCTTTTACCTGTCGATTTTATCAACATTAAAAAAATATTTACTTTACAGCCGAGATAACGATTCGCACGTACATTTTCAACCGTGTCTTCGTCGTCGCTGGACAGTTCCGGAGGTGGGAAAGGCGGCACACCAGGCGGCTCTTTATTCGGCGCCAACGTAGGCATAGATGGGGAGGTCGCATACGCGCTAGTCTTTTTCAAGATACTCGGTGGTACAGGAATATTCATTATAGTATGGTGTTGTGATATATAATGAGGGTGAGGCGGATATATATGCGCGGGTGGCTGTGGCATGTCTGGCAAGGGAATCTGTGACGTTAAAGAACCTGCGGGGAAATTTCTATCATATAAAAACATTATAACAAAACACACAGCAACGTGCTGAAGTTTCCGGCCAGCGACTAATCCTACTTTCAGTTATTTATAAATATTAATGTTTGTCGAATAAAATATCAAGAGGCACGGTAGTGTCTCGCGCCAAGTATAATTTCTATCACGTAGATCAACGTTTTTGTGTCAGTTGCCATCTATAAAAGTGCAAACAAATTTACTTTTCAAATAAAGTCATAGTTCAGAGACCTTTATGATCATCAAATGGATACATCAAATGGAAACGAGAACGCCAAATTATTACTTAGGTTCGAGCAAGATAAAGGTAGCTCAATAATTTAAAGAGTGGCAAAGAGACCTGTTTTTTTCGCCCATTTTTGAGACCACGAATTTCAAACTTTTAAAATGCCAAATAGTACTACACGACGGGAAATTAAACCCAGAGAAACTTTAAGATGGGCATAGGCACGGTTCCGGAGATCAGTGATTAATAGGGAACATATTTTCAGGGTGCTTTATAAAGCACCCCTCATAAATAACAGCGGTGAATAGTTGATCGTTCGTTCTATGAATAACGAATTGTAGAAGATCCATTCAACAGAAAATACCCTCAATATCACACGAACTTCAGCCACGCATTCATCCTTGTGCAATGCAGCCTGACAGGAAATCATCACCTTTACCTCCTTGTATCTCCGGAACCTATTTGCCACGAAAGAAAGTTTGAAATTCGAGGTCTCAAAAATGAGCGAAACTTGCTATTGACCTTTACCTTTCACTTGTAAAAATGGTGGCAAAAATTACTACTGGTCGAAAACTCTTGCACGCCATTGTACATTAGTTGCATAATTATATGTTTACGGGCCACGTATGTACTCACCTGGGTACATCCTGGATATGTCATTGGCAGCCGACGGCAGCGGTATTTCGTCCACCTGCACTTGCTGCGCGTGCCGTACAGCTTCGAAGTAGGAAACCAAGTCTATCCTTCTACGCTCATACTGTATCAATTGCTCCTTCAGCTCCGCCCACTTTTCTTGATCGTCCTTCGCCTAAAAGGTAAAGAGACGGCGCGCTGATTACACCGCGATTGAAATGCCAATGTCAATCCCTTCGCAAGCTTACCAATACTTAATCGTGGAAAATTTACTACTCACATACTTACATACATTTTTAAGACACGGTCTAAAGTTTCCTTAAGTTTCTTCCGCTTGTCTTTCAACACCTTCTCGTTCAAGGGGGGCGGCTGCATCACGTTGTACTCTAAAAATAAAAGAATAGAACAGAATGCACAAAGGTACGTCACACACGCCAAGTTCTACAAAATTCAACAATTTCTAACCCATCTGATCAATCTTTTCCATCTCTTCGATGATCTGCGCTGGATCTTTGCCTTTCAAAACGGCCGCTCTTACCAATTGCCGTTGCTTTTTGTTCTTTTTCAATTCCTTCTTGCGCGCTTCCTTTCCTGAAATTAAGAAAAATAACAATGAAACAATACCCCGCGGTATCTCAACTCAAGATTGTGCTTCCTTGAAAATATTCTTTGGTCAAACGCTGGGTTAGGTTCTCGGCTACTTACGTGCTTGATCAGTGGGATTCATGTATTTCCCACTTTTCGTGGTGTTGATCGAACGGCGCCCCATTTTTCACAGAATTGCTCTACTTTTCGTGACGGTCGCAGTGACACCGCGGCTCGATTAATACGTCCGCAAAATTTCAATCTTATTTACGTCCCCTCGACTCGAGGGGAGCAGCGCCCAGTGTGCTCCCTTGATTAGAAAACTAACAGGCGAAGCGGGTCGGATACCGCTTTATCCCGCAGATTGCAGGCAGTTACGGAACGCATCGCTACGAGTCGCTTCACCAAAAGCGTACGAAAAGATCAGGCTCTCATTTGATCCTATAACAAAATCGTCAGATTTATGTCAATAAAATCAGTCTCGAGTGCCTTTATCGTGGCAACTTAAGGAAATATCGCTCCGAATTCGTGCTCGAGTTATTTAAGTAAACACGTTAGTACCGATTGATGGTAGTGGGGAAAAGATATTCAGCTGCGTTCGTAAAATAGTCACAGCGGTGCCTAATCGGTCGGCAACGGTTATTCATAAGCTCGGTTTCTATTGTACTGGCGAACTGGGGCCCCGATTCTCGAAATCATTCGAAGAAGAAACGTACACGAACATTCTGCTCCGACAGAAA